AAACCTTAATATATATATATATATATATATATATATATATATATGTATATGTGTGTGTGTGTGTGTGTGTGTGTGTGTGTATAATAGAATAGCAAATCGCTCCATTAACCGCATAACAAATACATTTACAAAAATACTTATTTATTCATATTATACATCTAAAAATAATTTATCCTGCTCGAGACTTAGTTTTTATACAATGGTAATGCCTAATGAAGAGCAGTTGAAAAAAATTAAATTATTCCGATAAAAAAATAAAAATAAAATAAGTATCATAATGCTGAAATGATATAAATATTCACTAAACAGTTTAAAAAAAATTAAAGAAGTCAAAAAAGTTAAAGAGCTATAATTTTTGGAATTTGATTCGAAACATATACTTGAAAACTAGTTGATTAATCCTATTATTTCTCTCAAAATTTTCAATGTAATGAAAGAACATATATGAATTCCTAATAATGAAGAAGCAATCTGCTAGAAAAACCCAATTCAAACCGAATCCACAGTTAAAGAAACATAATTAGAGGTGTTAATTCGTTTCAAAAATTGGAAATTTTAAGTAATCTGAAGTATTTCTTTCTAGAACGCCATCGTATAACAGGGATCGAAGTTGATATCATTTTCAAAGATTAATTACCTGTACGGGAGCTTCAAGTGCCAGGCTCCTGCTTTGACTTAGTAAAGTATAGTTATCCCAGAAGATGGCATCATCGTGGTGAGTGAACCTTGTCCCACCATAACAATCACAACAAAGATCATAGGTGCTAGGTGACTCATCAAGACAGAAACATTGAAAGCAGCTGAAGTATACGTCTGCCAAGAAAGTATTACAAGACTGGCAAATTAAAGCTCTTCCACTCTGCATGATGTAGTACAAGACGATTGTTTCCTCAAAATCCAAGCTTCCATTGCCGTCCTTGTCCAGCGCTGTAAACAAGCTTGGAAGAGTAAGAACCGTGTTGTTATGTTTCTTGAGATAGTCCACGTATTCATGTAGGTTAATTTGCCCGTCTCCGTTTTTGTCCATTTCATTGAAAGAAAATCTGGCATTTCGCTTCTTCTCCTCCGACAGATTCTCATAATAAGCTACAGCAGCGCGGCGAATCTCCTCCATATCTATTTAAAAGGAGGAAAATTTAAGAGGATAATGGAAGAGGTACGTAGCTTAGATCTAAAACTTCAACACTCCAAAGGGATTTGATAAGGAAGTAGCTCTATAATCTTAAATTTCTTTGACCTAGTCCTAATCAAGTTTGGCTAAATCTACCATATAATGGATGTATTTGTATCAACCTGCCGAGGAATCATTATGCCTATGACTTGGTGGTTGATATAAATTGAATGAATATACCTCATAATTATAACCCATGATTCCGTCTCGTAGTTTGTTTGCGTCAAGTCAACTTATTTTGGCTTTTATAAAAGTCAAGTCTCAATTTTGGTATATAATTATACAGACTAAAATTTAATTTCTGATATGGTATCCCAGCTAGCAAACAAGCCTGAGCACTTTCTTACTCCCACACAAAGTTTATTTTGATATCTTAATTAGATCTAGTTTATATGAAATAAATTTAATTTCACGAAATAGTTATTTTATGAAAATAATAAATTATTGCATGTCATTGACCTAAAAGGAAAATAAATCAGCCAAAGGTGTTGTATATTATGTCCTTAAGAGACATGGCGTAATGATAAAAAAATTAAAATTTATATAATAGATCTCGAGTTTGAGTTAGGATATATATTTCTTATGAAAACTTGAAATAATTGGGATTTTACTTGTTTATATGAATCTAGAAAATACACTTTCTAGAAGGTGAGATTTCCTTGAATCTCAAAAAAAAAAAAAAAGTGTTGCATATTGCTATCTGTACGTATATATTAAAGAAATTGCATTTCCTAGGAAATTTAGCAGCAACTTCTAACACTACTTCTAGCCCAGAGGCCATTGACTATTATAATCAGCAAATCTGATCAAACCATGCAACCCAGCATGTTTTAATCTCATTATAAAACAATGCCTGTAGTGTTTCTTGGTGAAATTTGTGTACGATTCAATTATCATATAAAAAATTATAGTTGTTTTTATAATACATGTTGTTTTGTTCAACTAGCCCAGAGGCCATTGTACTTAGACTTCTTATTGAACTTATATTTATTCATCCAAACGATAAATATATCATGATTATTCAATATCATGAAAATATATCACAAAAAGACGCTTGTCGTTTTGTTACCTATTACCAATCAATCTCACTGGAGATGGAGATTTGAGGTTGTGGTTCCCTGATTAGGAAAGGAACAGGTCTTGCATTTTCTTTTAATTTATATAAACCTGCTTTAGACGTTAAAGAACACAGCCGTGTTGGTTGGAATTTCGTCTATTGGTAACTATATATTATGTCTGATGTTAATTTTTTTGAACAACTGAGCCAAATTTAACTACTTTTTAAGTAGTGAATGGTTTCGGTATCCATTTCCAAGCTTAGATTTTACTAGATAAACTTCATTTACTACATGGTTTACACAAAAACAGCTTAAGATTAAAGTAACAAATTCAAAATGCCCTCCAAAAGCACACATGAGAATACGGAGATCAAATGCATGAGAATACAATTGCGACACAAAAAATACAACTCCATAAAAGTAACTTGAGCTTTTTCTCTACTGGACGTGAGCTTTTCTTGAAGAGTTTCCAGTCATTTCCTCGTCCCTCATCAGCAATTACTGTACGATTGGAGGCATTTGACTATGATAAAATTCATCCTTGGTTATTTCACATAATGCTACAGTAAAATTTTGATGCAAGATCAGCAACACCAACAGTTATGCCTGCAAGACCAACAGTTATCTCCGCAACTAGCAGTCTCTTTTTATGGGAGTTAAGCACCTTTCTTCGCTTCTGAAATTAAAGATAACAAAGCATGATGATTAGACACTATGTCCAGTTATGGGTAAATTACGTGAAACTAATTGGTAACATTGAAGCTATAAAACAAATTTCGATTCTGATGTATTCTTATTATCACTATGCTATGGAATAAAAGCCACAAGCTATTAGGACAACAAGACATTAAATTCATCATCACAATACTTAAAAATACTCAAAAAAACATCTCAAAAAATAAAATGACAATATATAACATTTGTGGCTGAAAGTGCAAAAAATGAAAAAAAAAATGTAATGCTCCATAAGCAATGAGGTATCAGTGAATTTAGTCAAATGTATAGTATAAATAGTAAAGAAATAATTATACTGTTCTAGTTTCTAAAATTAATTACCTTTATGGGGGCCTCTTGTATCACGCTCCTGCTTTGACGTAGTAAAGTATAGTTATCGCAGAAGATGGCATCACCGTGGTGTGTGAAATTTTTACCACCATAACAAGCACAAAAAATTTCATAGGTGCTACCTGAATCATTATTGAAGAAACATTGAGAGCAACTGAAGTATGCTCCTGCCAAGAACGTCTTACAAGACTGGCAAATTATAGCCCTTCCACTCTGCATGATGTAGTACAAGACGATTGCTTCCTCAAAATCCAAGCTTCCATTGCCGTCCTTGTCCAGCGCTGTAAACAAGCTCTGATGAGTGAAATCTGTGGCTTTGTTTTTCTTGAGGTAGTCCACGTATTCACGTAGGCTAATTTGCCCGTCTCCGTTCTTATCCATGGCATTGAAAGTTTTTCTGGCCAATTTCTTAGTCTTAGCGGGCAGATGTTCATAATAAGCTACAGCAGCCCGGCGAGTCTGCTCCATATCTATTTATGCATGTAATATTTAAGAGGATAATGGAAGAGGCAGCTTAGATCTACAATTCCAACACTCCAAAGGCACTTTTAAGGAAGAGGCTCAGCTCTAATCTAAAATTTCTTAGACCTTGTCGAGGTATTTCATGAGACCGTGTCTTAAAATCTGACTGGAAGATCCAAAATATTGAGATGTGAGATACTGCTAATTGGGTTAATTCTTATATTACCAAGTCATATGGTTTTTTTATTTATTCTTTTAATTTTTAAATTTTAATATAGGTAGTTTTAGCTAAATTCAAAAACAATTTGAAATCTCTCATATTTTGTACCAACCTGCCGTGGAAGCCAAGATATTAAACCTATGATTTGGTGGTTGATATAAAATGAATGAAAACATAATAATTATAATCTATGATTCCGTCTCATAGTTTGTTAAAAGTCAACTTATTTTGGCTTTTATGAAAGTCAAGTCTCAATTTTGGTATATAATTATACGTAATAAAAATTAAATTAAAATATTTCTGATAAACTGTCCCAACCAGCAACCTCATACAAAATTTATTTAATATTTTACTTAGCTCTAGTTGTATAAGTAAATTCAATTTCACGAAGTGCTTATACAAGAAAATATTGCTTGTGATTGAGCTAGGAGGCCAAGTCCATTGACTGTTACCATGACCAAATCTGATCAAGCCATGCAACCCGGCATATTCTAGTTCCACTCTAAAGTTATAAAACAAGAGCAATAGTATTTCTTAATAATATTTGAGTATGATTTAACGTAAAAAAAAAAAAATTATAGTTGACTCGACTGTATCCACTTGCATCTATTCATCTATTCTATAAGTATATCTTCCATATTTTCCAGAGTCTGATTATTCAAATCCTCTAGTCTCCTGCATCACAATCTTTTTTTATTGTTGCTATTGACTTTTTCTTCAGTGGCATGTGCGCTGAAAATATTATAATCATGAAAAGATGCATATTGTTTTATTACCTCTTACCATTCAATCTCACCATCAATGCCAGAGGTTGGTTCCCTGATCGGGAAACGGACAGGTCTCGCATTTTCTTTTTTTTTTTCTTTTTTTCTAAATTTGTATAAACCTGCTTCGGAAGTTAAAGAACATCGCAAGGTTGGATTTTCTTCTATTATCAATACAATTAAAAATACATATGCTTGGTTTAACTATTTTTATGAAAATTAACAAGGTTAATATGATTTTTTAATCATGTTTTAATTATTTTCTTACTTTAAATTTTTTTGAGGATGAGACGACTCACAACAAGTTAACCATTGACCAAGTCTATGAAATTCAAATCATAATATTAAAACTTAGTGAACTTGATATGAAAGTTCTTGATTCACTTTATATAGAGATTGTTTTATCAAAACTACCTCCATCTTGAAATGAATATAGAAAAATAATGTTATATTTAACAAACAATTATATATTTGAATAATTTTAAACAAACTTGCAAATTAAGGTTTAATCTTGTATGTATGAATTGTTAGTGATAAATTCTAAATTAAATTTAGTTACTAAAACTTGTTTGAAAATGACTAAAAACAATTTAAAATGCAAAACAAAAGTATTAGAGAATAATATAAATCATATCTTGGAACCTTACCTAACAACTTAAGCTATTATATTGAGATGATTTTTTGACATAATATTAGAGTATTAATAACCAAGTGGTCACAAGTTCGAATCTTATCATAATACTAACAAGAAGAATATGATTTATTTAGGTCTAGTATTAATGAAATCACTATTGTTTTTTGTTTGTGGGAAAATGTTATTCTTATGATGGCATATTTAGATTCAGTATTTATCAAATTAATGTTGTTTTTGCTTATATGGATGAATCTATTTTTTTCTTTGGCATGCTAAATTAGGTCATCTAAATTATAGATATTTGAAATATATGTGTAAGCATGGTTATATTTAGGATTAACATGATGATAATTATAAATGTGAAGTAATATATATATATATAGTTGACTCGACCGTATCCACTTGTATCTATTCATCTATTCTATAAGTATATCTTCCATATTTTTCACAGTCTGATTATTCAAATCCTCTAGTCTTCTGCATCACAATCCTTTTTTATTATTGCTATTGACATTTTCTTCAGTGGCATGTGCGCTGAAAATATTATAACCATGAAAAGATGCATATTGTTTTATTACCTATTACCATTCAATCTCACTATCAACGCCAGAGGTTGGTCCCCTGGTCGGGAAACGGATAGGTCTGGCATTTTCTTTTAATTTTTTTTTTCTAAATTTATATAAACCTGCTTCGGAAGTTAAAGAACATCACAAGGTTTGTTGGATTTTTTTCTATTATCAATACAATTAAAAATACATATGTTTGGTTTAACTATTTTTATGAAAATTAACAAAGTTAATATAATTTTTTAATCATGTTTTAATTGTTTACCTGCTTTAAATTTTTTTGAGGATGAGATAACTGATAACAAGCTAACCATTAATGAAGTCCATAAAATTCAAATCATAATATTAAAACTTAATGACTTTGATATGAAAGTTCTTGATTCACTTCATCTTGCAAATTAAAGTTTAATCTTGTATGTATGAATTGTTAGCGATAAATTCTAAATTAAATTTAGTTATTGAAACTTGTTTGAAAATGACTCAAAACAATTTGAAAATACAAAACAAAAGTATTAGAGAATAATATAAATCATATCTTGGAATCTTACCTAACAGCTTAAATTATTGGGTTGAGATGATTTTTTGACACAATATTAGAGTATTAATGACCAAGCGGTCATAAATTCAAATCTCATCATAATAATAACAAGAAGAATATGATTTATTTAAGTCCAGTATTAATGAAATCAATTTTGTTTTTTGTTTGCGGGAAAATGTTATTCTTATGCTGGCATATTTAGATTCAGTATTTATCAAATTAATGTTTTTTTTGCTTATATGGATGAATCTACTTATTTTCTTTGGCATGCTAGATTAGGTCATCTAAATTATAAATATTTGAAATATATGTATAAGCATGGTTATATTTTGGATTAGCATGATGATAATTATAAATGTGAAGTATGTATTCAAGTAAAGATAACTAAAAGCCTATTTCCTAAGGTTGAAAGAAATTCTTAATTACTTGAGTTAATGCATTATAATACATGTGAAATAACTAGTATGTTAATGAAGGTGAGAAAAGATATTTCATAATTTTCATTAATAATTATTCTCATTTTATCTATTTTATCTATGTGTACTTGTTAAGAACTAAAGCCTAAGCCTTTAACAAATTTAAAAAATTCAAGAAAATGGAAGAAAATCAAAAGGAAATGAAAATGAAAATTCTTAAAAGTGATAGAGGTTGTGAATACCTTTCTAGGAAGTTTTCTACATTTTATGAGGAAAATAAAATAATTCATCAAATGACCACACCTTATACACCATAACATAGTAAAAAGAAAAATAGGATATAGTCAATGTCATGCTTTTTAATGCTAAGTTACCAAATAATTTGTGGGGTGAAGTTTTGCTTACTACTTGTTACATTTATAATAGAGTACCATCTAAGAAATTAAATGTTTCTTTTTATTAAGTAAGGAATGATAAAAAGAAATAAAAAATAAAAAAAACAAATCTAAATTATTTTGAAGTGTGGGGGTATGTAAGTTTCTAATCCTTATAAAACAAAATTTGGACCTAGAGTTTTTAAGAGTGTTTTTGTTGATTATGCATGAAATTAAAAAGCTTATAGGTTTTTGGATTTAGAAATTAATGTGATGGTTGAATTTGTACATGTTGAATTTAATTTTAATAAATTTATAAGTGATTCAAATATGTAAGAACAGAATCAAACAACAATGACTCCCAACTCAACTTTAAGTGAAAAATATAAAAACTCAGAAGTAATAAGTTCAAATGAACCTAAAAAGAGTCAAAACATTAGAAAGAAAAAGCACCTAGATACATATTTCATTTCTACTAATTCAATTGTATTTTTAGTAGAAGGTGGTAGAAACACAATATTAAAAATAACACCTAAGACCGTAAATGTAAAAGATGATCTAAAGACATCCTATGATGCTATGTCTTCTACGGATGTTGTTTTTTGAAAAGAAATGGTAAATGATGAAATTGATTCAATATTATCTAACAATACTTAGGTCCTAATAGATTTACCTTTAGGTTATAAGACAATAGGATGTAGGGTGTTTAGAAGAAAATACAATACTAGTGGTTCTACCCAAACTTCAATGCAGGATTAGTTAGCAAAGGTTTTACTCAAATAAAGGTGTTGATTATTTCACACTTATTTTTCAGTGTTTTATTTTCTTTAGTAGCAATTTATAAATTTTATGTTCATCAAAAGGACTTTAAGACAACTTTCTTAAATGAATATTTAAAGGATGATGTTTATACGGAGAAACCTGCGGGTTTTATACTTCCTAAAAATGAGAATTTTTTTTTGTAAATTAATAAAGTCTTTATATGGTTTAAAACAAGCTTTGAGACAATGGTATAAGAAGTTTGTCAAAGCAATTTTATTAAATGGTTTTTGTCACACCTTCGCGTGAAGCCTAGCATCGTGCTGACCCTTCTCGGGAGCAGGGATATTGATGTCGAGGTCATTGTTTTATGAATAAGGGAGTCGCCACCTAGTATTATGGTCACTAGAAAACCTAATTGGTCTTTTAGAGATTCTAAGGCAAGGCACTGGTTGCGTAAAGGGAAGGTATTAACACCCTCATTACGTCTTACCTAATGTAAGCTGCTTGGTATTTAGTTTATCTTATAATTATTATGGTGTTGGTTTTTTCTAATCTCATCAGTTTTCCTAGGATAGTTTTACTATATAAAAAAAACTTGGGTTCAAAGTTTAAAAGCAAGAACCTTTGGCCAATATAGATCATACCCTTAGATATATCTACAGAGTGCCAAGAAGAAATAATACAGATCTCTTAAAATCTGTGTTTAATTTCAACTAAATTTATAACCTATGAATTAAAAGACAACTAAGATAGAAATATAAGGAGATTTAATGTGCTTAG